TTGTCTGTCATTCTTTGTTAAGAATAGATGCATTTTTAAAACGATGCATTGAATTATATCAACCACAATCATATTAATTACTTAGTTTGACGTATTGCCAGTGTCAATTATATTGATGATTAATTAACGGCAACAGAGAAAAATACCTACTTGATTAATTATCTTAGTCTTTAGAAATATTTACATCTTCATGTACAGTAATTAAGACTGAACCCCTAACATGCAACTTATGTTTACAACCCATCATGATTATCCAAGTTTTTTAACCGAGTCCACATTTCCTAGAATTGAGTGGCGGATTAACTGGTGTGTTTCCCGTTCGAAGCCTCATATATTGTAGGTATGTATAGATCTGCAGTCATTGGGAGTGGGTGAGTTGTCTGCATATAATGACATATTCTAGGTTGCTTTCAGGAACATGTTACATGGAGGGATGAGGGTAATGATACCGTCTTCTTGTTTTCTTGGGGGGCTTTTGTTTTGGGGGATCATCAGAGCCGTGACAATCAATCCTAGGCATTTCTATTTCATTATTCCTTACGTTGGCAATTAAGCTTAGACCTTTCACTTACAAAGTTACAAGTAAAAAGAAATAACATACTAGACCATAGTTTTAAGTGACATGTATGTAACTTCCAAGCCTTAAGAATGTGTGGTTTGAACATTGGTTTTTCAAGGGCCCACGTACTATAATGATATGGTAGAATCAAACATGTTTACTTTCTTTTAAAGTTTGAACTGCGCCTTTGACATACTAAAGGAAAAGACTGGTTAGCTAGCCGTTGGGAACATTCCCACCACTTTATAATTTTGTCTGGACTTAGAACCAAAATGCCACACACACACACACACACATATTATGGGACCAAAGTAAAGCTTAATATCCTTGGGTAAGGCATAAGATTCAAAGCAAGCAAACTTAAAAATAAAAAAATAAAGAGAGACTACCTTTCCTTTTACACAGTCCGTTAGTATCCACCACCTCCTTCTTTCCCGACCCCACCACCAGTCCACCACCTCTTCATGTATGACTCAGAAAGTGATAATTGCATCTAATTCCCTTCATTTGGAACTTTTTTTTATCTGTCCATGCATTGTTATTCCATATTTAGGCACATCATGACATGATATAATTTGTCAACTGAGCTCAAACTATCATCTAGAGTTTGTTAAGATTATTCAAATAACTTTCTAAGGTTGTATTTTAATCATCTTGTCATATTAATAAGTTGGAAATTGAGAAATTCGTTTTGATTTTTTGTAGGGATGGATGAGATGATAAAACAAGAGTCAACAAACTATACTTCCCTTTTTGTGTTAGCGCAAGTCATCAAGTATTCATAATTATATACATGACAAATAAGTTATAAAGCGATCTTATCCAAATCAAATATGTTGATAAACAAGATAGATAATACATGATTTATAATTTTTTTAGAGATATTCATGATATTACGTGATTCTTTTTATGTGTGTGTGCGCGCGTTTGTGAGTGAGCGAGTGATATTGCGTGATTCCTTGGGATTGAAGCATATGACTGCGTTGATACACAGGACAGGAGGGCTCAAATCATCAAACTTTCTATAGAGAAGGCGGTGAAACTATTTTGCATTTAAGCAACTATGCGTAATGGGTTTTACTCACAATTCTCTCAAAAAAAATTCATATTTGTTTTATTTATTTGCAATTGATATTACTATTTTAATTAATGGTAAGGAAGATAAGATGGTTTGAATCCCAAATGTACTTGATTCAAGTGAAAAACCTATACCCACGTGCATCTAAATCATAGTTTATCCTCAAAATAAAGGACTTTTAAGACTTGTACACATAAACCACCACTAAATTTTAGGGGCATTTTGATTGATACACAATCAACTCATTATATTTTAGAGAAAACTCAAATTATAATAAATGTCTATTCAATTTATTACTTTAGGATTAAATGAGTTATTATTTCTTTGGACATCCGAATTTACCTTTTTTTGATAAATGAGGAAAATATTACTATTATTATTCTTGATTTAATGCATTGTTTAGTTTTTGAATTTTGAAAGCTTGCATTGAGGCCATTAAATAGTTGAAATTCGAATTCCAAAAAAATAATTTGTTAGTTATAAAATCTCTTGTTTAGGTGGAATCTCGAAAAAGAAATAAATAATTTGCCAATTATCTGGATTGGAGGTCATCTAAATTCTTTTTTATTTGTCCTATTACACAGGTAACGTTGTATTTGTTATGTGGAGTATAAACGATCAAAAAGTGCCTCTCTTATGTCTTATCTAGAGCATAGGTGGTCTAATATTTTGTATGTCTTGAGAACTTTCTCGGAAAAAACAAAAAGATAAGAATAATACAAAGATTACCTCCCTAGTAGAACAAATTAAAACAAAAAAGCTATTATTAACTAAATGAAAGGGTGCTAACAACCTTTTCACTTACTTTTTCATTTCAATTTTTTTCATTTTTACTCATGTCACACGAGCATGCAAAACAAATATTTAATTACTTTTTAGTTGACAAACCAAAATTTAACTATACAAACAAAGCAAGAAAAAACAGTGGAATTTTAATAATTAAAATGTTAGCTTTGGATGCTAGTGGAGTACACGTGCCATGAGGAGAAGTGAGAATTTTGAAATGAGAAAGTAAGTGAGTAGGGGTCTCAACGCTTTTCTCTCTCTAGAAGACCTAGTCGTTGCTTTCTCTCTCGCACATAACTCTTATTGCCACTGACCTCTTCCTTTCGTTAGAGTCAGTGGCAACCCCATCCTTTACTTCCTTCTTTTTTCTCTTCCTTTTTCTCCTTTTTAGAAGCTCATGTACGTTTTCTTAGCATTCTTCAGCGTTGTCTGTCAATTCTCCGATGTTTATCATTGTATTTTGTCTTAGGTAAACCAAATCTCTATCCTACAACCGTCTTTCTTCAACCCCTAACATGGATCTTCTCCATTGGGTCTTGTTGAGGCCCAAAAATGTCATGAGCAAGCCCAAACAAGTCTTGAAGCCCAATTGTCAAGAGAGCCTCAAGTCAAGCCCAAATACATGCAAAAGTGCAAGATCAAATAAAGAGTATATTCACTACCACGCTATACTATGGTAATTAAGCCAAATGTTTATGTGAATCACATTATGCCCATGCCTATTCGTCACGCTAAAATGAGCTCAAGTCAGATGCTCGGGGCTTGTCAAGTGAATTGTGGTGTGAATGGCTACATGAGTTTATTGGGCCTATGTGGAGTCAAGATTATGGAAGACTTTGGGCTGCTTGGGGGTCGGGGCTTAGAGCCCACACAGGCAAGCATTAAGAGATAACAAACTTAGTTTGCCTCTTTCCCTAGTAAGCTAACTAATCCAAATAGAAAGGAATCAAGTCCTAACCCTAAGTTCACGTGAAAACCCCAGCAAATAAGGCATTTAATGAAGAGAGAGGTTGACTTTTCCTTCCCAACTCACGTAGAAGTCCAACTCGCGAAAGCCAAGTGGCATGCTACCAAAAATAGTGTATGTGGAAAGCTAACCTGGGAAAGCTGACCTAGGCAAGCAACGCCTTGGGAAGAAGGCATAAAGCAGGTTTCATAGGTCGGCAACACCTATCCATCTTGCACCAAAATAGAGGGTAACAAAAGAACTAGGGAGAAAATGGAGAAAGAACAAGCCATAACTAGAGATTCCTTGAAAGGGAATCATTCAACTACAAATATAGGTCAAGAACTTTAGAGAGGTAATCCCCCATCACAACACAACGAGCCAAAGAAACCCAAGAGTCATCACTCTGCAGCTTGAGTATTTTCCATAACCTTCCTCTGAGTATTTCAGCCATCATAAGCTTTGTCACCACCCTAGGAAACCAGATTATTCAACAGAGAACACCATACAACCACCTAATCTCTCTTTTTCATGCAAAACTAATGAACTTCTAGCTTCTACACCACGCTTCTCTTGATCAAGCCATTATTTGTTTAATCATGCTAATCTTTGAGTCATTGGTCGAACCAGAATATTTCCTAAGATGAGCTAACTCTTTCAAGATATTCCGGAACTTGGTTAGAAACTGAACCACGGAAGACAAGAGGATGTTCTCAAAACCCAAGTCCACCTTGACCTAAAAGTCACCCAATAGGTCCTCCTTCTCACATCTCATTCCTCCTCTAACCTATGCTCAAAGCTAGAAATGACATATCTGTTTGGACATCAGATCTCAACTCTCCCATCACTTGTTTGCACCTGACCAGCATACTGAAAAATCAAGTCCAAATGCGATGCGGCTTTATCCAAAGTAAGGGTGTTTTAGATGCCCCTTAGGCCTCATCCCTTTCTATTGTTTTTGCTTTTTCTCCTCCTTGTTAGCTTATGTAATGGTGGTTCGGATATGGTGGCTCTCCTCCGGTGTGGTGGTTTTAGTGGCGGAATTTAGTTGAGGATAGTTCGATCTTGCGGGTTGATAATTTTGTATTGCGATACCTTCATCCAATTCAACGCGAAGCTGGTTCTTATTGCGGCTACCCTTGTGGTTGCTGACGAGGTACTAGTAACGGCGGTGACTGCATTCTGTCTTTGGGCCATATAGACTAGGGGGTCATTTTATTGTTTTATCTTGCTTTTGAATGGGTTTCGGCTGTCTCCAATTTTTGTGGGGCTTGTTTGTTGTAACTTGTAATGGCCTTTTCTCGAAATCTTATGCTTTTTCTTGAAAAAAAGAAAAAAAAAGGTAAATGAGAAAATGAATAAATTTGAAACCAGAATCCCCCAAAAAAAAAAAAAAACCAATGTTGTCTTCGAAAAATGTTAAATCAAACAATGAATTTAAATAACATGAAATATGTGCAATAATTAAGGAGCTACCTACAATCCCCTTGCCATCGAGAATTTTTAGGTGCAAGCCAAAGGAGTGTTCAAAGAAAGAATCATCAGTATGCCAACATAAAGAAACAATGGTGAACAAGTTCGGACTATCCTACTCATTTACCGGTCGGACATAGCCAAATAAAGACAGGGAATAAAACAGATGGCCGGAACCATCTCATGAACAGACGTTGTATTAGGAAAACTAAACCTTAATTACATTCTGTAACAGGTAACAGATTCAATTCATTTATACCGAATTCAGCAAAAGAGGGCTGTCCCCCCAATTATATCCTACTCATAGCATGGCCAAGGTTGGCGATTCAGAACACAGGTGTTTGATTTGTCTCCAAAAAGAGGAAGTTGCTAGTACTTTGCAGTAAAGTTACAGAACCCAGCAAGAAAGCCCTAACCTTTGAGGAACATGTTTCTGAACTCGTCATTGGATTTTGGCTTTTCATCATCCTGTTTCTCAGTAGTTGGTTTATTTGTACTACGACCAAGTGCAAGGATATTCCTGGGAGTTGCAAATGTGTTCCTACCCTTCAGCTGTACATTATCACTTCCTCGGTTATAAGTAGACTGCTGTCCTTGACGTGCTCTAGGTGCATTGGAGGCCTCAGCAGAATCATTAGACTCAGCTCCCCTGGCTGCACCAGTTTGAGTGGAAGTATTCAGCACAAGCAACATCATGACCACATGCAGTAATGAAATCCAAATAGATCTCTCATCATATAAAAGATCCTTTTTTCTATTTTTTTATTTTTTATTTTTTTAAATCCTAAAGATTTTCAAAGAACATATATGCCCAATACAAAGGACATGAGTATATGAAGTACAGAAAATTTGGAACGCCATTTCTTGAATGCAGAAAGATCCATCTCTAGTAATATTATATGCACTTTCAAAAGGAGCGGATATTGTCTTGACGTCTCCCTTTTTCCCTCCATGAGAACCTTTTTACCTCAGTTAGGTCTTCGACTTCAACATATTTTTATGTTCTGTTGCATATTTCTTGTCTATGTACTGGTTTTCAGTTTTCACCCAGTTTTGAAAAAGTTTCAATTATCCACTGATTCACTCCTTGAGCTAGGTTCAACTAAATGAGCAAACAATAAATAAAATCAAAATCTTGAGCACCATATTTGATATCTCAGTTTTTCAGCAAGCTTTTAGACTTCAATTCTCCTTCAGTCAGAGTATGATGCAAATTTAGATTCGAGACTTGGTCACAAAATCAGTGGGAGCTGTACATTCAAACCGATCCAGGTTTGATGAATAACTAGAATAATACTATAAATATAGTATGTATAACAAAATTTGAGGAAATAACTAATTTTATTATGGACCGGTACATGACAGATGGTATATTCCATATGGTATCAATTTAATTTAGATTCCGCATGTGCACGTAAAATTATGTTAAAACAAACCCAATTTGGCGTACCATGTTCCTTCTTCCCATGCTTTGGATCTGATCGTGTAATGCTCAGCTTCTTCCCAAGGAGCATCTGCTTATTTTTTGCAACAGCTGCAACGAGGTGGGCATCATCTGAGAAATCCACATATGCCAATCCCTTCACAAGTTAAAAGGAAAATATAAAATCAGAACTTTCAAGACCAGGATGAGAAACAAATCAAATTCATTTCATATACATATATGATAACTCCAGGTTTTACTGACAAAATCTGGATGCTTTTCACAATGGTCTCACTGACATATGCTTTTACATTCAGCTAATGATACTTTACACATCAATAATTTTTAGGGGAATGCACGCACTATGGGACTCCATAAAATAAATTTATTGAGACCAAATGAAACTTCCGTTCAAGTATAGTCGAGAGGAAATCAGTCACAGCAGGCGCTAAATAGAGGAGTACACGGGGGCCAAGAAGCTAAACCTGCCAGATGAATACCTGGCATAAATTCAAATCAAACAGAATATTATTATGCAAGCATTCTCCTCTAACACACCCACCCCCCCACCCCTCCCCGCCCCACCCCACCCCCCCCCCCCCCCCCCCCCCCCGCGGGCGGGGTGCATAGGCCTCGCATTTGCTTTTCTCTATATTTTGTAATATGAGTTTCAATTTTGCTCCTGAAATAGATTTACGAAACAAAACCCAAAAAATTTCACTTCAAACTCTGTCCAAGAGAAAGCACATGTTACAAGTAGTATATACTAAACCCACGAGGAGGAAGTGTCCCCTCGTTGTCCATTCAAAACGTAGTAAAACTTGAGCCTTCAACCCCACCTGTGCCCGATGCTTTGGCATTCCATGGTTTAAATGAAATCATACCAACAAAAAAAAAAAAAAAAAATCAAAATCTTGGTCGAAGAATATAATATCTCATGTAATTTTAGCCTTACAGCTCTTTACAATATCGCATTTAAGAATGGGAAAAATAGAACAAACTCCGGAAATCGAAAAACAAATAACCACGATAAATAATACCAAGAATTTCCGTGGTTCGGTAATATGTGCCTACATCCACGGGACAACAACAACAATCTTTCACTAAATCAATAATGAGTACAACAAATAATCTTGCCAAATCTCTAGAACTAGGACTTGAAAAAAAACCTGAAAGAACAAGAACAATACACTTATCTCTTTTTTTATCTCTCGCACACTTTACAATATTCTCTCACTCTAATACTTTGAGTGGTATACAATTTATTGTTTTGCTCCCTTTTTCAAAACTACTAGAATAGCCCCTTTATATAGACATAATAAAGGTCTTCTTCAATAAGGATTATTAATCCTAATTGGAATCTAGTTATAAATCCTACTCCAATTGAGAAACTAACTCCAATTGGGTAAACAACTCCAATTGGGAAAACAATTTAATCCTCTAAGACTATAATTCCTTATAGACTTAGGACAACTTATCATGGGCCGGAAAAACCTAACAACAGCTTGCTCTCATCAACTAACCAACGGTGATATTTTATTCACTGCACATGTCCACTATGAAAAAGATGAGGAAGTTCAATGCTCTTCTCATATAACAATTTTCAATTCGAAAATTTAGAGTTCTAACAATGTGCAGGTAGAGTAGTAGGACTATTATGGACAGAACATGTTTTGATCTAAGAGAAAGATTAAATAGTTCCATGCACTCTTACATTCTGAGTTGGCACATTCAGATTAGATCAACACAACTGTAGAACAAAAGATGTAATTTGATATTTTTATTCTAGATCAAACTAGTTCCATCATCAACAAAAAGAACAGAAACTTTCTTCAGATACAGCACATAATTTTGTGCCAGGAGTATTTTATCCGAGTCTTACTTTTGTACCGAGCAAATTACAACTCTACAGTGTCCCAAATACCCTTAAATCATTGACCCAAAAAACAATACCCTACCATCAAAGTTGTTGTCCAGAATTTCCAGCAACCTGTCTTCAATTACAAGATCTATCTTTTATGCTTCTAAACCATTAACATAGTCAAAGCTTCAACCAATGTACGAGCATTAAAATTTCTCCTAGAACCAAGCATTAAAATCTGGACATTAGCCAATCCTAAAATACCACGTGCAATATCAAACAGATTGCTAAACTAAAAAGGTTTGCACACAATATAAAGAAACACCAAGAAACTGTGAGAGAGAGAGAGAGAGAGAGAGAGAGAGAGAGAGACCCTGGACTTTCCAGTGAACTTGTCATGTAGTATTCTTACAGCAACCACTCCCCCAACATCACTGAAGAATTGACGCAGATGTTCATCATTTGCCTGCAAAACACGAACAGTTTCTAAGATCATGCCTGTGCATTAAAGAAGAGAATGAGAAGGGATTTATAGGTTGTGTACATGCCTTAAGGTTAATATTTGAAACAAAAACAGTACACTGGTCAGCATATACTTTTCTTTTCTCCGGAACACGCTCCTTCATTTGTTGCTCATTTTCTGTGTCTGGTTGGTCACCCGTGGCCTTGATCTTTTCCACGTTAGTTTGTTCAACTGAGTTCACCGCCTCAGAATCCTTCCCATGTGCTTTCTTTGGCTTTTGGGCCGCATCTTTTTGCCTCTTTGCTGGATGCTGTTCATTAGGTATGTCAGAAACTTGCTTTCTCTTATCACGAGCATTCTTCTTCAAAGGAGACTCTTCTATCAATTTGGATTCTTGTTGTGACCTGAATAATTCTAGCTCTTCCAGACGAGGAGTGACCTAAATAAGGGAGCAGAAGTCAACAACAGACCTTCAATCTGTTGGAGTGATGAGCACTTCTTCAAAATATAGATTGACAAAAGAACAATGACTTAGCTGAGATGATCAAGGCAAAGCATATCCGTACTTAAACTGCGCAAATTTGGATAACTTTTAACACACTAAAAACTGCCTCCCGCGGGTCTATGTAAGATATGGTAGAACTAGTGCTTGTGTAGTTTTCAGATTTTAAAATGATGAGTAGTTTGTTATTCATTAAGTGATAAAACTTCGTTACGGTACCTACACTGACATCGCACCAACCTTATAAGCACAACCATTGGTGGCTCTCATATTACAGTTTTCTTTTGACAAACTCTGACTTTATATTACTGTAAACTGCAATGTATCTAGAAATAAAGGTAGAATAATTACCTTCACATTCACAAATTCTAAATGATTTCGGTTCCACTTATCATTTTCATATGTTGAGTAATTTATTAATCATTAGACGAATCTTTATTCACATTACCGAAGCTGAGGACATTAGACAAATCTTATGAAGTACAACCCTCAGCATGGCAACAAACTTTTTATGTTAACCATTAATTTTTCTGCAATCCAGAAATGAAGGAACATGAAGTAGAAAGATGGAAATTACCTTCACATTCACATATTCTAACGATTTCAAATTTCATACAACATTCAATTGGTAAGTGCAAAAAAGGGAAAATGTACCTTCTGTACTGCATGGTCAAGATCATCCAACGAACCAAACTCCCTCTCAAAACGTAACCACGAGTGGCAGATGTCCTGAATTATTCTGTATTTTAGGAAAGGAAGGCACCATCTAATCCCAAAGGTATTATATACAAGCGTATAAGCTACTATATAATAAAAATAAAAACAAACAGACGCACAAACACCCAAATTGACATGATCAATAAGCAACAAACCAAATTTTTACAAGAAACTACATGTACACTACACGAGTCAGTATGAAGTATGAACACAGAATGAAAACCGCTACTATCAAAATCCAAGACACGAGGCCTTTTAGGAAAAAAGGCAAGCTTCTTGCAGTGATATGGTTTATAATTTGTTGAAAAGAAAGCTAGATAATACACCAAATTACTGAAGAAAGCTTCGCTTCAAATAATTTTTACAACTAAGTTTTAAATTTTTTATTTCTAATAGTAACTTTCAACTTTGTCAATTAATTCTTGCTGTTTTATCCTTTTTGAGAACATAAATGCTGATCACATCTAAATCGAAGCCATAACATCCAGATTCACCCAGGTTTTAAAACCCCAAGAGGCTTCTGCTAAATTATACGCCACATTGTGGCTAGGAACGAGGGGAGAATGTTGACAATTTGATAATCAATAGGCCGAAGAAATCTGTAACCAAATACTCATCTATAGAAATGTTCTCTTGGTCAACTAGTAACCAAGAAATGGTCACCCGCCATTGAATTTGATATCAGGGGTGGAGATTTTAAATGGATGTGACTTAATATCAAATCCAAGGGTGACCATGAATCCTTGGTCACCAGGTGACCATGAGAACGGGACTTTGCTCATATAACCTAACCTAACTGCCTGCTATGAACAAACAAGATATTATACTCGATTCTGTGCTCAATGTTTGAACAGGAATATGAAATATGAAATAGGGCCATAGCGTATCACACAAATCAGAACCCAAAAACTAGGCAAAACACAAACTACTGAATGAGTAAAAGTTGTTGTGCAAAATTTGAGAGAGAGGCCGAGCGGTCAAAAACAAGTTTCATTCAAGAATATAGACGAGGAAAGTAGATCTTACCTCTGAACCAGTTCCGGGAAATCTTTTACTGTAACATCTCCTATATAGGGCCCGAGCTTCATTAACATGACCCAATTCAGTTTCCATTGCTATATAACCTTGCCAGGCTTCCAGCATTGAACCACTAACAGAAGATAAAAAATAAATAAAAATATATTAAGAGCATTATACAAATGAAAAACAGAAGGGGGAAAAAAAAAAAAAAAAAAAAAAAAAAAGGCATTCCAAAATAACAATCCAAATTCACAAATTCCAAAATGCCCATACCAGAGCTTAAGTAAAGTCTCCCAAACTCCACGAGCTGCCAGTTGGTCCTTATGTAGATTTAGCTCTAAACGGGCCCAATAAGCATGCAAACGTAGCAAGCCATCCGTGTTCTTCAGGTATGCTGACAAGTAATCTGATGCATTCTGAAGGTATAAATTGTCAGAAATTTCATGTGTACAAACAATACATTATTTCTTTCTACGAAGTGGAAAAAGGCTGCAAAAAAGCATAATCCTTAACAGCATACGGGTTATTTTGCCTAGACACAACCAATGTGATTGCTAACCCTTAAACGTACAGAAAAAACAGACTTTCCTTTTTCTTTTTATTATGAAGAACATACTGGTAATTTAGGACTTCAATTGATCCAAACATGGATATAAATGTATTAGTACAAATATAATTTTTTTTTTTTTTTTTTTGAGAAGACATTTTCTTTTTCATCTTTTGAATATGCAAACAACAACGTAACACCTGTAATCCCACCCCACCCACCCCTGACCAAACCTCACTTAATTCAGAAGACCAAGAAACAAATACAATCTAATTGCAATTTAGTAATTGTGGTAGTTTAATCCCAACTAGTTTTCCTTGTAACTTTGCCACAAAAATGAATTACGTTTTTATATAAGTGAAAAATAATAACAAACCTGAAAGGTTTCCCTGATTAATGAATACTCCAAGCCATGCTCTCCTTCAACAGCGCATGATATTCTTCTTCTTAAGCCATCTACGCGGGTGAGGTACAAATCTAGGTACTAAAGAAAAGAAGCTCAATGAACAAAGATAATAAAAAACATTGTCACATATTTAGATACAAAGAAAGAAAGACAAATCAATTATAAGAACATCTGTACCTCATCAAGGGTTAAAGTGCATAGCAGAGACTTCTCAAAGACCTGAGAATGAGCAACAATTTAAAAGGTACTCTACACATTTTTCAAGAAATCATAATGGAATGTATTTCTATTGGTTCATTTACATTTATTCATTTTTGGTTTGGTAAAGGCATCCACTGGAGTTGTATTGAAAATTGAGTCTTCGCTGGAGAATATTCTGGCTGAGACTAGAGACTAAGTCTAATGAGAAGCAAAGCCCAATAGTAAGTTACCTATTGGCTCTACAGTTTGATGTGCTAGTTCCTTAACACATGAAACATGTCGAGTAAAATTTTTGGCATTTCTTTAAATTCAAAGCCGAATAGTGCCCATTCATCCCTCACCGTAAACCAAAACCCTTGCCCTCCTTTTCTTACATATATCATATTAAGGGAAATTTTGAAAAGAAAAGGCAATTACATAACAGCAACGTCAGGAATACCATATTAAAACTTTGTGGACAATACCATCAAACAAACGTTGCCAAGATTCATATATTTCTCATTGAAATAGTACTTCCTAGAATCTCAAAAGAAGGGGAAAAATGGATAGAGAACACCATGAAGCCCAAATGAACAGAGCGAAAATACTTAATATAGACTTTATTCAGGACACAAGTCACATATTTAGAGCAGTTCCACCGGAGCAAAAAGAGGCCAGCACCCAGTGGAAAAAACAGGCTGGGACTCAGCCAATCCACTCCAGCCAGTGTGTTTGCCTGGCACCCAGCCCAAGCTGGTCTCCAGACCAGCCCATTTTTGACAGACCTGGGGACCAGCCTGTTTGTGTTGTTAAGCCTGGCACATGTCCTACACGCGCACGTCCTAGCAAGTAGGAGACAACAAAATCAGAGGTAGGGCCCAACGGTGCAGGCGCATTAACCTCTCCCTCGGGTGGGCAACATGGCCCAATTTCTACCATTGGATTTCCAACGGCTAGTCATTCTAGGCCGTTGGATTTCCAACGGTAAAAAAAATTTGAATTTCACTTTTAAACTGGACCGTCCGATCACAGATCAACAGTCCACGTTTTTCCCCCAAAAAATTAAGAATTTCACTTTTAAAAATACAGAAAATTTTTAATAAATTCAGAAATTATTATTATTATTATTATTATTATTTTATTTTTCTATAAATTCAGAAATTTAAAACAAAATTATTATTTTTTATTATTTTATAATAAAAAATAATAATATTTTAATAAAATGGACTAGGCTATTTTTTTTAGGGGTAGAGATGTTTTGGCCTATTACTGCTCACTGTGGTCTATTACTGTTCACTTAAGTGGATAAATGGGCTATGGGCTAGGTGCTGGCGCAAAGTCTTTAAGGATGGACTTGCTCTTAGAATTTCATATGGCCAATCAGTAAACCAACTAAAATAATACGACAGCGTTGGCATACTCCAAGTAACCGTTCAAGGCTAGTTCTTTCTTTCTCTTACAACATATTCTTTAAAACTACTAGGCAAACGGAGATGTATTTCTGTCTGCTGTAGCTTAATAACCAAGTCAAAAGCAAGTATTCCAAGTGTTGAGACGTTTAAGAATGGGAAAAATAGAACAAACTTCGGGAATCGAAAAACAAATAACCAAGATAAATAACACCAAGAATTTACGTGGTTCGGCAATATGTGCCAACATCCACGGGATAGCAACAACAATCTTTCACTATATCAATAATGAGTAAAACCAATAATCTTGCCAAATCTCTAGAACTAGGACTTGACGAAAAACCTGAAAGAACAAGAAATACACTATCTCTTTTCTTTTATCTCGCACACAGTTTACAATATTCTCTCACTCTAATCCCTTGAGTGGTATATAATTTATTGTTTTGCTCCCTTCTCGAAACTAGTACAATAGCCCCTTTATATTGACATAATAAAGGTCTTCTTCAATAAGGATTACTAATCCTAATTGGAATCTAGTTATGAAACCTTCTCCAATTGAGAAACTAACTCCAATTGAGAAACTAACTCCAATTGGGAAAACAATTTAATCCTCTAAGACTATAATTCCTTATAGACGTAGGACAACTTATCATGGGCTAGAAAAAAAAAACCCAACAATCTCCCCCTCCAGACCATGAGGAAGGTATACCAAAAAAAAAAAAAAAAAAAAGGATTGCTCCTCTTGACCACTCCCATTGATCTAACTTTTCATGACTAGACTCCCCCTAATCAAACTACCCATAACCAAGCTCCGCTTGATCGAACTACTCATTAACCAAGACCCTCTTGATTAGACTTCTCTTGACCAGGCTCCCCCTGATCGCAATACCCATCGTCATTGGCAAAGGAAATTATAGACTTCTTTGCCAGAAAACATCGCTTATCTTCATCTTGGACCAATCAGCATCAGACATACTTGCCGGCTTGCTCTTAACACCTTCAGTAAAGTATGTCCTCCTCTTGATTTCCACGTAACCCAATTACAAAAGGTTGCACCCTCCAATCTAAACAGATATCAGCCAAACCTGGCTCTGATACCACTTGTTGAGAATATCACATTTAAGAATGGGAAAAATAGAACAAACTCCAAAAATCGAAAAACAAATAACCAAGATAAATAACACCAAGAATTTACGTGGTTCGGCAATATGTGTCTACGTCCATGGGACAGCAACAACAATCTTTCACTATATCAATAATGAGTACAACCAATAATCTTGTCAAATCTCTAGAACTAGGACTTGACGAAAAACCTGAAAGAACAAGAACAAGAAATACACTATCTCTTTTCTTTTCTCTCGCACACACTTTACAATATTCTCTCACTCTAATCCCTTGAGTTGTATACAATTTATTGTTTTGATCCCTTCTCAAAACTAGTACAATAGCCCCTTTATATAGACATAATAAAGGTCTTCTTCAATAAGGATTACTAATCCTAGTTGGAATCTAGTTATGAAACCTTCTCCAATTGAGAAACTAACTCCAATTGGGAAAACAACTCCAATTGGGAAAACAATTTAATCCTCTAAGACTATAATTCCTCATAGACGTAGGACAACTTATCATGGGCTCGAAAAAACCCAACAATCTCCCCCTCCAGACCATGAGGAAGGTATACCCAAAAAAAAAAAAAAAAGGACTGCTTCTCTTGACCAAACTCCCATTGATCGAACTTTTCATGACCAGGCTCCCCCTAATCGAACTACCCATAACCAAGCTCCCCTTGATCGAACTACTCATTAACCAAGACCCTCTTGATTAGACTTCTCTTGACCAGGCTCCCCTGATCACAATACCCATCGTCATTGGCAAAGGCAATTATAGACTTCTTTGCCAGAAAACATCGCTTATCTTCATCTTGGTCCAATCAGCATCAGACATATTTGTTGGCTTGCTCTCAACACCTTCAGTAAAGCATGTCCTCCTCTTGATTTCCACGTAACCCAATTACAGCGGGTTGCACCCTCCATTCTAAACAGATATTAGCCAAACCTGGCTCTAATACCACTTGTTGAAAATATCGCATTTAAGAATGGGAAAAATAGAACAAACTCTGGAAATCGAAAAACAAATAACCAAGATAAATAACACCAAGAATTTACGTGGTTCGGCAATATGTGCCAACGTCCACGGGACAACAACAACAATCTTTCACTATATCAATAATGAGTACAACCAATAATCTTGCCAAATCTCTAAAACTAGGACTTGACGAAAAACCTGAAAGAACAAGAACAAGAAATGCACCGTCTCTTTTCTCTTCTCTCGCAAACAGTTTACAATATTTTCTCACTCTAATCCCTCCCTTCTCAAAACTAGTACAATAGCCCCTTTATATAGACATAATAAAGGTCTTCTTCAATAAGGATTACTAATCCTAATTGGAATCTAGTTATGAAACCTTCTCCAATTGGGAAACTAACTCTAAATGGGAAAACAACTCCGATTGGGAAAACAATTCCAATTGGGAAAACAATTTAATCCTCTAAGACTATAATTCCTTATAGATGTAGGACAACTTATCATGGGCTCGAAAAAACCCAACACCAACAAGTAATCAATCAAAGAAATTAGAAGCAAACAGAGATCAATAAAAAATGCTCCAGCCAAACAAAATTGAAATTTAAAACATACAGAGGCAATCTCTTTCTCAGAAGCATGACCACGCTCCAAGGAAAGCATATATCGGACCCAAAGCTCTCCAACACAGGGGCAATTCATTACAGCCCTGGAATAAACGTTGGTTATAACATTGCCAACCTGAAAAGGTTAAAAAAAATTACTTTAACAGCACAGGGTTGCCATTGGAACAGAAAATATGTAATAAGAGATGCCAAGGGATAAAAACCTTCAATGTTTTGTCCAAATAACGAGTATAATCAAGCCAGAGATAACTGGATATAGGAAAGGCCGTAATAGCACGTTCATACAACGTTTGGACCCGGGCTGGATCTCCAGAAGACTGTTCAAATCTCAAGTACTTCTGCAGAAAAGAATAATTTATTCTTTCCAGAAACTGAAGATTTACACATTAAGTAAATAAACTAACCGGAGGATTATAATGACAAACCATACAAATGAAAGTAGAAAGGAGGCAGAAAAGACCAGAAACTGAAGATTTACATATGAAGTAAATAAACTAACCAGAGGATGATAATGACAAACCATACAAATGAAAGTAGAAAGGAGGCAGAAAAGACAAACCGTAAGTTCAAAAAAGACAATGGTGCGAGGATATGTAAAGGCAAACCAGTGAATAAAAGGATAATACAACTGGCATTTCTAACTTAATTTTTGTACGGTTCTACTAAGTACTAGTTCCAAATTATACATACCATGAAATTTTGAAGTCTTTCTGAGTCTGACATATCCTGCAGACAAATCTGTTCTTCAAGATGAACGCGAGCATCATACATTTCCAGTGCCTTTTTATACGCTGAGGCAACCTGGAATGAAATTCCATCCAGGTCACTGAAGCCAGCATCAAGAATGTTTCCTCGTTCCACCTCCCATGCCTTGTAATCCAAAAGTGTTGACCTCATATTAACATGGGGGACTGACAACTGACGGTGGAATAAAGAGCGGACACGCTGAATTTGCTTTTCTCTTGCCTGCGGTGTAAGAAGAATTTCTTGAATATCGATCTCAAAAATAGTTTAACTATCTAAAGGCAGCATATAATTATCCCAAAAACAATAATTATAATATCATATGAATAACTAAGTCGTTGGGCATTCAAATCAAAATATAATTCAGAACTCTTACAGGCATTTAGTGATTTCTCTTACAGGTTTTAAAGAAGAGATGGCTGAAACCATAACAAAAATTAGATACTAATCTGCATATTTACAGTTGTATGGCTTACCTTTTAAATACCATTAGTTTATTCGTAGTACTACTATGAAAATGTAAATCTGAATTGAGCTATAAGAATTGGCATAACGAAAAAAAAGATTAGACTGAATTGTTGGCCAATGAGAGAAAAGTCACAGATGGAGTTCAACAATTGATTGTCAGTCTCATTCTCTTTTATTATTATAACAGGAAACATAAACTTGTATAGAAAATGAAGATGTACTACAAGAAAAGACGGCCAAGAGATCCATCAATATACCACTACAAACCTGATTGTCTTTCTCGTCAATAGTATGAAATATAGCTTGCTCAAACGACCGATAGGCTTCCCATAGTTTATTGCCTTCAGAAACATGCAAACCAGCTGCAGTAAGAGCACGTTCAAATAGATCTCTTGCCTTCGAAATACCAGCAGGTGAACAATCTCTTACTGAGGGATCATTTTCTTTAACAAAATCTAAGTAGTCACACCAAAGAGAGATGGACTGCAATTGAAGGTCACCAAGTTAACAGTCAATATTCCCCACAATCCTTTGATCATTAACAACACAAAAATATGTACAGTAATCAAGAATTGATATGTTGGGTAAAGCTTTAAACTTACATCAAATCTTAACGAGATTAGATACTGGTGCTAGCTCACTCAATGAACAATCTCTAGACTAAATAACCCAATGAACAATTCTAGAACAAAAGTGTGATGTTTCATTACAAGTTTAAAGTTATCTATGTTCTTGCACAACCAGAACATAAACAACATAAGTTCATCCAAGTATAGACAAGGGGTATAAAACTTGGATCACTTTGAACGGAGCACATCCATTTAGAGAATGAAACCCCTCTTGCACAAAAGTTAGGACAAGTTATGTGCATATGAAACAGAAAAATTGTCGATAAGGCATTCTGCTGTTATAACTGAAAGTTTGGATGCCATCCAATTCAAAATCATAGTTAAGTTTGTTTATTTTGCTTCTCATTTTCAATTTTTGCCATAAGCATCCATAATTAACATAAATATGGCACGGCATATCAAGAAATAACAATTTTTAAATTGCACGTTTTCTAGAATAAAGAAGCATAACCAACCAGATATTCAAAGACTCCTCGCTCGTAAAGCTTTTCAATAGCACAAAAAGCATCAGACCTGCAAATTGGACAAATAGATTGTTCTTAAATAATTTACAAAAAATTAGGTCACCGAAAAGAGAAACTTTCTTAAATAATATACGAAAATTTAAGCCATCGAAAAGAGGAACTACGTTTTCCTTTATGTGTCCATTGTGTCTGTGCCCTAGTGTTTAAATATGAAAAAAAATTGAGGCAACCAGAAGAGCGTTGGTAACGAAACGAGAGTACCCAGTGGAAAGAGAAGCTTCGTCCTTAGCCCAATCCTGCCACATAGAAGGGGTTAACGGAAACAGCTGATTCATAGCTTCCCTTGCCAGCCTCAGCTTTTCAATGTCAGCCATTTGCCTCAGAATCTTTATGTACTTTAGCCACAATAAGAATTCAAATTTAGATTTTCCTCGGCAACCAGACAGACGGTATTCGAACAACAATGCATAACCCATTAGAAAAAATTAAAAAAGGAGCGAGAATATTGGCAAAGGTGAATACTTACTTGGACATGAGTATCGTAGTTGCCAGGATTGGCAGACAGCTCGGCTTCTAGGGTTTGGAGTTGGAGGTTTTGGTGGGCTTGGTCGTCGCCGTTTTCAGAGCCAGAGTCAGAGTCTGAATCGAAATCGGAGGAGCTAAGGTCTTGGTCAGGGAGGAGGTCTGGCATGGTTTGATCGCCATTGTTGCCTTCTTCAGAAGTAAGGGGGTTTAGGGTTTCTTCGTCCATATATGATCTCTATTCGAATTGGTATTGGAATTAGAATTCTTTCTTTCTTGCAGTGAGCCTTGAGACCAAATGGGAGGCTTTTTTCCTTCTTATTTTCTGGTGCGATCGATGTATTTTTACTTTTATGCCCTAACCTGTGCCAACTGTAAACCTGGGCCAAATGTAAAAAATTGTATTAACTTGGGTTAATTGTAATTAAAAATCAAATTGCAATATGTTATGACATTGTTATTCACACACCTTTTACATGAATGAATTGAAGAAGATAAGGATAAAAAATTAACATGGGTGTGAAGTAAAAATGTATATGAATAGCTCTATCCTAAGTTATAAGGGTGTGTTTGTTTGCACTCACTAGCATTCACAAGATTAGACTGGATTAATCGGCAAAGTAGTCCCGTGTTTGTTACACTCCAAGACAAAGTTTAATAAGACTCGCCCCGACTAAAAGGGACTAAACTCTTCGCTAAAGGGTCCTAGCAAAACCCCCAAAAATTGGTCAGACTGCTAAGCCCACTCCTATCCGCTACGCCCTTCCCATCTACCAACTCCCTACTTGGCCCCTCTCATGTACCATTTTTCAACCCATATCCAGCAAAACTCAAAACAAAAAAGGCAAAATTTTGCAGTGTTTCCATTTTCAAAATCATATCCAAATCCAAAATTCTAAACAAAAAAGCAAAAAAATAAATAAAAATACAAAATCATTGTGCGTATACAATGCATTACAGTCGCTCTAATCACACATGCACCAAGTCCTGACTCCTTTATCGCAGACCTTTGCCATTGATGCCGGAGAAGCAGACCTATAAATACCCAGATGACCCAGATTCTGATCGGTTCTGATTCATCAATTGGGTCTTAGAAAAATTAGGAAGAAAAGAAGGAGATGAATGGATAACAAAAGGAAAGAGGGAGATGAACAGAAAACAATTGGGAATGGAATGATGTTTCTGGAATGAGAAAATAGACAGAAGTAATAATAAAATATTACTAAATATTTATTAAATAATATAAAATAATAATAAATATTAATAAATATGGATTAAATAATATAATATTGAAATTTGTTATTAGTCTGTTCTTTAGTCCTGACACTGCATCAAACGCTTCATTAAGTTAGTTTAGCTTAGTCTAGTTTAAGCCAGTATAGTTTAGTCCCTGCAACTAATTCAGTCCGAGATAGTTCGGCGCAACAAACACACCTTAATTTTGTTAGGTCTCACTTACCTCCACTCCACATGGTAATAGTTATCAATGAGATGCTTAAGATGACTCTTTTATGTATCTTCTTAATTAGAACACACGTTAGTGCAATTTTCATTACGTTAGTGCAATTTTCATTAAGTATGAGGATGACACAACAAATACGCATAAGGATATATACCGACCGTTTTGGATAGTCAATATTCAATTGACTTTCCAAAGGCTATAAACTTTATTTAAAGATTAAAGTTGATTTAATATTGCTGTGCTTTAAAAAAAAAACTAATTCTGTTATGTTGTGAGAATAAGCAGCTGTGAAATAAAGCAGCAGAGTGTTTAGTAAATTTTTTTGTGAAAGTGTTTTTGGGAAAAAAAAAAAAAATTAGTATTTTGATGTTTTGTAAACTTTTATGTAAAACAGTCGTAACTGTATGAAATGATCAAAAATAATATAATACTGAATGTGCCATTAATTTAATTTTCTTAACAAATAAAAAGTGAATTACTAAATTTTCATCCATCTTCAAAGTAAAGCACATTACAACACTGAAACACCAAAACCTCCCAAATCTGGCCATTTAACTGTCAATGCACTTGAATCCCCTGCAAGCGCACAACCAAATCCCAAACAACACGGCGCAAACAAACAAGTCAAGGATCAAAACAACCCAAACATGCCTCCTCCAAACTTGCTTGGCCTTTTGGCGGTCACCCGAATGCAAAAGACCACTCTTTTGTGTTGGCAATGGAAAATCTCTAAACCCGCCGCCATAGCATCATCGCACACATCCACCTTCTTCTCCATTGCAGTCACATCTTTGCAAACATCGCCATTAACCTCCCCAGAAAACCTCCTCTTCTTCTTCAACCCTTCGCTCGGATTCTTCCCAAGCAGCAGTGTCAGCACCATTTTCTTCCCTTTACTCGCACCAAAGCTTAGATTCCGACTGGCTGCCGGTAAATTGGGCAAGTCCGAGGCCATTACTTTTCGAATAATCGAATCAAACTGGACTTGCAAGCAACTGGGAGCAAAATTATCCTGAACCAAGATCGACCCACTTCCACTAACATCCTCAAAACCGGATTTCAACTGGTTTAAGAACGAAAGCGCCTCGGAGTCATCGATATCGGCATCGCAGATAGCGAAATACACAAAAGGTTTAGAAGTGAGATGCCATAGCAAGGAAGAGAAGTGAGACGCGAGGGGTGAGGGTAGGATCACCATTTGAAAACTTTCATTAAACATTACTGTTCATTCGTGTTGCTGTGATAAAAAGCCGATTTTTGATAGCAGGAAATACCTGCTTCCCATTTCCAGCTGTTTCTCACAGCAGATTTGAAAATAAGTGCTTTGTTGGTGAGTTACCAAACACAACATTGAACTTAACTTTTTTTTATCCCAACTTATAAAAAAATTTAAGCTGTACGAAACCAGGGCTAGGCGACTATTGAATACAAGTCTTCTTGTCTTAACCTCATTTAGGACATCACTTTTATACCTTCAATCCTATAGACTCATTCATAATATATTATCATTATGATATATAGCCAAACTCATGAAGAATAAAACTTGCCATTTTATTAGTTAATTAATTTGGAATTGTTACATAATATCCAATATTACATAAATTGGCTTTTCGAACATAACTCAAACAGAGGTGTGTTGTCATAATGACAAATGTACAATATCACTCAAATTTTATAATGATAACTTCAATGTCGTTCTAACACGGATCATATTAGTTTAAAGAATATTATTTTGATCAAATTAAAAGTAAAAGTAACTAAACTAGATTTACGTTGACAAAATTTAAATATGCAACAAATTAAACACAAGTAAAGATGATATTTGATAGAAAACTAAACAAGTTAAATAAAATACTAGGTCATCTAACCGATCCCACCCCAAGTCGATAGCATATTAATCCTAATTACTGATTACTATTCATGTAGACAATTGACTTTTCTTAAAATATTTGATATCCGTTTTCAAGGCTCAACCAAAAGTATTTTTGACTAACAACTGATTCTTTTGCACACAACAAATTTAGAAAATAAATAATCCATTACGAGTATGAAAATCCCCAAAAGAAACTGCATGAATCATGTCAATCCATACTTGACACTTATTCAAGACATGACATTCGTTACAATACGCATACACCAAATCTCTCTTTCTAGTCTCAATCATCAAATCAATTAAATGTTCATTCAAAGCATTGCGAACGGTTACGAACACTCAACATAAAATAATAATACGAAATTAATACTAAGCTACATCTTAACTGTAAGAGCAACTCCAATTGTAGACTAAAAATCAAATTACCTTCTAAAATTTCTGCCCAAACCCAAATTTTGGACTAAATGTTAAATGTTAAACCAATACCAAATTCCCTCCAAAATTTAGCCCAGAAATCGGAGTAGACTTCACTCAATATTTATCGGAATTTTAATTTTTTTAGATTAAAATATTTATAAAATTAATTTACGATAGTCTACATATTTATTTAAAAAAAAAAATTAATTTAACTAAAAAAAAAAACCTAAGTTCATTTTTTAATAATCCGGGGCTACAATTTTAGGCTAAAAAGGTTGGAGTAGAAAAGCTGTTTCTAAGCTAAAAGTTAAATTTTCCTGGCTAAAAAATTTGATTTTTAGCCCATCCATTGAAGATGATCTAACAACAAAAATTTAGTTCACGATAACTTAAAAGAAAAACAGAATTGAGCTTAAAAACATAAAAAGAATACACCTAAATTCCAACTTGGCTCACTTCCACGGCCAAATCCATAATATTCAGCTCTTGCTCCTAAGTTCTTGGTTACTGGTACAATATTCTCTCTCTTTTCTGTCTGATATGTGCGCAAGCCTGTCTCATTTTGTACCGCCAAAACCCATTATTCACCGCATCAAATATTTGGATTGATCCCTCACAAGCACATCATGGAAATCATCAGGTTTTCTCCATATAAACCTCAAATTCCAAGTTCCGTTTCACAAAATATAATTTGTTATAAAACTTGCACAGAACATATAATAAAGAAGTATAAATGTTCATATAAAACCAACCTAACAAAGGGTTAGATAGTGCAATCTCTTCAACAAGTTTCTCATCAATGTTGTTCCAAAAGCTTACTAGCTCAATCTAACGTTTTGTGACAAATTAGTATAGGTGGCATGTGTAGCCATTCAGGGGTATAGTAGTTGTTTGTTTGAACAAATTCACTTCAAATCATTCAGGGGTTTAGTAGTTATTTGTTTGAAATCCTCCTATATAATATATTACTTCTTTAGTTACATTGGTAGTGGCAAAGGCAAAAAAATAAAGACGTTATTCTCACGCAGAAAATAGCTACAACTTATTACACTAATTCATATCATGCCAAAACGTAATATAATATAATCAAGTTCAATGACGCATGCATATTACAAATACTTGTTCTGATTCAATCAATCCCCATATCAACATTACAACACGACACATCATATAACCCTATTGATTATAGCAGTGAGCGCGCTTAATTATCTTTAACGTACAGTATGTACTCACTTGCTTTCTTGACTTTCATGCGACCTTTGTAGGTTTGACTTCCGCCCCATGATCAGCAGACGAGGAAGAAGAGGCGACGTTGATGAGCTTGGGCTGCCTCTTCTTCTCCGCTGCTAACTTTGGCACCGTAATCTTCAGCACCCCGTCCTCCAGGTGAGCCTTTATCTGATCCAAGTCGGCGTTCCCAGGCAGTCTGAACTGTCTCCAGAACTTGCCGTTTGTCCTCTCAGCGCGGTGCCACTTGTAGTTGTCGCCCTGCAGTTCACCTTCCCGGTCGTCGGCCTTCCTCTCTCCGCTGATCCTCAGCACCCTGTTCTCCTCCACCTCTATCTTGACATCCTCCTT